CCAATGTGTTTTCTCCCCCCCCCCGCCTCTCTCTCTGGTGAGTGCATGCACCCTATGGCAAGCTTTAAAAAAAAAAAAAAGACAGTTGAATTCATACACTGAATTGCATACTTTAAAATGGTAAATTTTATGTTTTGTTAGTTATGATTGATTTTTTAAAGGCATATGGCAAAAACCCTTATAGGTTTCCCTTATATCAGGCATCACTCTACTCTCTCTGGGATCAGAGACCAGATAACTAGGAATAGTCCCTGGGTCTTGAGGTCATGAAAATTATTCAAATTAGTCAATACATAAGGAACCTACAAAACCTAGCTAACCCCGTTCCACTTGCCATACAAGCTGCCCCTACAGCTTCAGTTTGCTGTCACCCTGTCCCCACATGTAACCCCATGCAGCCTTGCATGGCAACCCTCTCTCACTAAAAGTGTAAAGAACAGAGTTCTACTTTCCAGTTGTCCAAGTATCATTATGTTATGTTGCACCATTAAAAAAATTTTAAACTCTTAAAAAACGCAGTTAAGGGCCAGCAGGTGGCATGAAGGTTAAGGTCCTGGATCCTACATGGTCCACTGTGCAGCTGGAGTCTTGGATCCGGTGGTTTGAAAATCACACCAGGTGTGTGTACATGCATGTTCTCAAAAATCTTGTGAAGAGACTAAAGGAGAAGGGATGCAGTGTGGCCTCCCAAGGTGGTGGGAGGGTCATTTCTCATTTTCTCTCTCTCTCTCTCTCTGGTGGGCACACCTACCCTACAGCCAAAACAAAACAAAACAAAACAAAAACTTCAGCTAAGTGCTGGGACAGATAGCAGTTCCAAGCAGGGGAACAGACAGCAGTTACTGTTTTCCTGTTCCCTGTGGGGAAAACATTCTTCTGTTCTAACTGATATTTAAAGGAAAGCAAAAGTACACACTTAGAAAACCTTATAATTCTACTGTAAATGTCCACTGATGCATCCAATAAATAAATACTTATTGACCAGCTAATATGTACCCAGCAAGACAATGTACCTGCCTTCAAAGAGTTCATTAGAGAAGGCAATAGAAAAACAAATTCAAGATTAAAAAAAGGTAAGTAAACAAAAAAGGATAATTCACAGTAGCAAATACTATAAAATAGTGTGAAACGGGCACTGAGGGTATGGTCAAACAGTCTTTGAGGCATGCTTTGAAATATAACCTGAGGAAGACAATGAGCCATCCATTTAAAGAGCTGGATGGGGAGTGTTCTAGAAAAAAATGACAAGTACCAAAGGCTACGGGGCAGGAAAGGGTGGCACATGTTTGGAAAACTGACAAAACACCAATGTGGTGGGAACACAGCAAAGGACAATGCAGTGCAACTAGAAGACAGGATTCTAGCCAAAAAGGTCCTTCAGGCTACAGGGTAAATGTTTCAAAATACAAGATCGCCACACCCTCGCCTCCTGTAAAAACACATCTATGAACATACATACATGTCCCTAGGATACATGTGTAAGAGTTTTGAAGGGAAGAGACACAGTTTGATTCACTTATTGCTAAGCTGTCTTAGAATAGCTTTACTTTGTGTAATTAAAGTAATTGAAAACAAAGTTGCTACTATTTAACAGTAAGATCACTTCTAATGAGTAAGGCAGGATGAATTCTATTTGATTATCATATCCTTGACACATTGGTCCAAGTGCTGTTATAGAAGAGAAGCCCTGCCTGGCACAAAAGAATAAAAAGGATGGAGGCTGGCAGGTGCCTTGGTGGTTAAGAGCACTGGACTCCCACATGGCCAACCATGGTTTGAATCCTGGACCTGGCAGCTTAGTTTCTCATTTTCCTTCTCTCTCTTTCTCTCACTCTCTCTCTCCCCCTCACTCTCACTCTCTCACACACTTACTCAGTCACTCTGTCCCTCTCTGGCCAAATTAAAATAAATTAACAAAGTCAGATAAATAAAAAAAAGAAAGAAAGAGAAAGAAAGGACAGAGAACAAGACACTGTATTGTTACTAAAGTAATTACCACAGAACCACTATCATGGGACTACCATTCCTTTTTTTTTTTTTTTTTGGTGAGGTTTTTACTATAGGGCACGTGCACTCGCCAGACAGACAGACAGAGAGAGAAAGAGAGACAGAAAGCGAGAAATCACCCCCCAGGGGGGATGGCCATGCCACAATCTCTTCTCCTCCATTCTCCTCTTGGGATCTTGGGCACACATGCACACATGCCCAGCGTGAGTTTTAAGCCACCGGGTCCGGGACTCAAACCGCGGTCGACTACGTGGGAGTCCAGTGACATAGCCATTACGCTAACTGCTGGTCCCAGGACTACCATTCTAAAGTGGAAAAGAAAATCAGATCTATTTCTTTCTTTTTCCCGTATCATAATATCTTATTATGTGTAAATCAATAATGGTTTAAACCCCATTTAAAATTGTTTGGAATAAACGATGGTTAGTTCCGATTGTGGAGGAAGGCAAGGAAATGTATAGCAATAAATTGAGTTCTGTGGCAGTTCCTAACCCTAGCACATGTGTTATAGAGTTTAATGTGAACTATTTAGAATTTTTTAACTGTGAAATAATTTTTCAGATGGAATAGATAAAAGCTAGAATTCCAGGCATTCAGGAAATTCTATTTCATTGCCTGATAAAGTATTACAAGTTGCTTTGGTAAAAGCATACTCTTCCACCATACTGTTTGTTAGTAAATGAGGAATACTCTTCACTAGTGAATAGTAAAACAGAGTCTTTCTCAAATAATGAAGAAACAGAGCTTTCTTTTCCCTCCCTCATTATAACAAAAACCACATTTATGCTTAACATATGTCTCTACTTTTATACATGATTTTCTATGGATTGTGCCCATCTTCTCACTCCAAAAACAACAGATCTAGTGTGGCAAACTCAGCGAAAGATGCCAGCTTAATTATCCTTAATAACTCTGTCAGCTGAAGGTGGGAGATCAGGAAGAAACTGAAGAGAGGTCTATAATTATAGTAGTAAGCTAAAATAAGCTGTCATAAGGAAAAAAAATTCATAACAGGGTACATGTGAATAAAAACATTCCAAGTACATTAAAAATCAATTTACCTTACAGTATCTTAAAGCTTCCATTAATGTTAGGAATCCCACAGCTGCTTGTTCATGTATACCAAGAAGTTCTGCAAAAAATAAAACAACCAACTTAGCATTATATTAATATATGTAAATCTAAAAAGTAATAATATGTATATATGTTTATAAATACACTGCACCAAAACATTTACTTTTCTCCAAAATCAGACTTTAAAATTTAGCAAGTATTTATTAGGATGCAATGTCAAAACTCATTATAGTACTACTCATTATAAAATATCACTAGATCAGGTTTATGGTAATACTTCAGATGTACATAAAATGTACTAGTAAAACATTATCATCGATGTTAATTTTTTAAATTAGAGAATTTCCCTCTTGAAATTCAGGGAATTATGGGGGGGGGAGGAGGGAGGGAAGGGAGAAAAACATACTTTAAAATATCCAACAAAAGGCTTTTACTTAACTCACTCCTCCCCTGAGGAGTGATTTCTAGCCTTCTGCCTCTCTGTCTCTGTCTTTCTGGTGAGTGCATGCACCCTATAGCAAAAACCTCTCCAAAAAATATAAATAAATAAATAAAATAAATTCAAAATTAATAGAAGCACATACAGTTTGTATTTTGTCCTTGGCTTCTTATAGACATAGACAGATAGAGAAAGTAATGATTCTTTTTAATTTTTTTTTTATTTCATTGCCAGAGGGCATGTGCAGTCACAAGAGACGAGAGCTCCCCATGGGGGCATAATCACACCACAATACTTTTTCCTCATTTCTCCATCGGTCAAGATTTGAGGTACACACAAACCTGCACAGTTTTTCAAGTCACCAGGGCTAAGATCCAGCACTTAAACTCCTCGAGCATGGCACTAAACTGCTGCTCCACAGGGCCAGTCCCTAAGCAATGGTTCTTAAATTGTGGTGTAGTACTCTTTGGGGTCCATAAGACCTTTTCAGAAACGACGAAGATTAAACACATCCCAGGTTTTCATAATATGAAGTTAACTGCCTTTTATACTCTTACTTTCTCATGAGTGTAGAGTTTTACAGTCTAAATGATGTGTTATACCATAGCAGATAGAATGTATGAGCAGATGTGAAAGTCTGACTATTAATATGAAAGACATTAATACAAAAGGATTTGTAAAAACTTAAACACTTAATATTTCTTTGGAAAATAGCTGATTTTTATTAAAAGTGTTATGATTTTAGCAAGTAATATCATCATTTTAAAATGAATATGTATTTGAAAAGTTTTCAGTCTTTACATATGAGAAATATTAATCTTTATTTACTTATAAGCCAATAAACAAAACTTCTTTGGAATCCTCAATAATTTTTAAGAGTGTAAAGGAATGAGATCAAGAGATCTGAGAATCTTTGGATTAGAACATTCAAAGGAAAAAGAGGGACAGAAGAACAGATCGAATAGGTAGAACTGGATACTCCATAGCTCTGTAAATGTTTCCCTTTTCATCTGAAATGTAAGTATCATTAAATGTCTCCACGTTCAAGAAGAATATATGCTGGGAAAGTTTTACAATTTAATTTATAAAATCAATTACCACCACCTAGTGTTACAATTTGATACTACACCATCTATTCCTTGGCATTCTAAACAAATATCTAGAATAGTATTTTTATAATTAGATGCTGGGTTTCATGCCTAAAGTCAAACATGTATTCACAGATATATGTATATATCACCTGAACTTGCTATTGAAAGTAGTTAGATTAAGATATTCTGTGAATCAATAAAATGTGTGTGGGGGGGAAGGAATGGAAAGCAACTGCAGATACCAGAGAGTGTGGGAGGAGGGTGGGAAATGTCAGAGGGTGAGCATTTTCATATATGAAAATTATTTGTTCACAATAATGTGTATGATTAAGCCACTATACAGTGTATTCTGGATGGAAAATCACATATCGTACACTATGATGATATTAAAATAAATTAATTTAAAAAAAGAATTATATGCTACTAATATAGCAAACTAATTATTCATAATGCTTGGGTAATCACATGCTCAGGCATCTAGTTTGGATGGTAAGATTTAAAAATTATGCCTATTTCCCTAAACAGAATATATACTTTGAAATGTTATCTTCTTGGGGCCAGCAGGTGGCATGGTGATTCAGGTGCTGGATTCCCACATGCTGACTGCAATTCAAGTCCCAGATCTGACTAGTTGCTTTCCCACTTTCCCACACTTCTTCCAGCAGGATACTCGCCCTCTCTCTCTCTCTCTCTCTCTTCGCCCCCTTGTGAGTTTACATGCCCTGTAGCAAATCTAAAAATAATAATAATGATGATAAATAAAATATCTTTAAAATGTTATCTTCTTTTATAAGCTAAAGTATATTAATATTTTTATGAGAAACTATGATATAGAGAGGATATAACATTCTGACCTATTACAACTTCTAGAGCTTTTTTGTATGAGACTTTCTTAATAAGTATCAAGGAAGTACATTTATGTAGGATACATTTGCACAGTATCCTAATAAATTTTAAATTCTAATTGTGTTATTAGATTAAAATTTTTTTCTTGATATTTATTTATCATATAAAAGAGGTGGAAAAAACTATGAAGACTCACCCAATTTCTGACTGAATTTTCAGGATAACTACATATTTAATAGAGTGCAACGAGATGACATCATAAAAACAAGACTATTCTTTGGCCTAACTATAATACCCATGTTTATCTTTTTTTTATAATTGATGAGTAAAAGTTAAAGTTGTATATCTTTATTGTGTACAATGTGATGTTTTGAAATACGTACACATTGTAGGGACCAGCAGCTGGCATAATGAAATATGCACACACTGTGGGATGGGTAAATTGAGCTAATTACCTTAAATAGTTATTGTTTTGTGAGAGTACTTAAAATCTACTCTTACCCATTCTCAACAATACTTCATCAACTATAGTGGACTACACTGTATAATATATCTCAACTTATTCTTGTCTAACTAAAATTTCATATCCTTTGGCCAATATCTCCTTAACCATCATTTCACTCTGTTCCTATGAGTTCACATTTTTAGATTCTCTAATTATATTTTGGAATTGTCTATCCACATTTATTTCCTTAAATCTAGCATTTAAGATTAACCGCTGTTAGTCTCCATCAGCCTACATCTAGTTAAGTTCATGAAACTGACTGTACCTGTGTGCAAAGTTTCATATTCCTGAGTACTTGGGATTTTTGCTTTATAGTCTTCGTCACCATCAACTATCACTTCTCTCTGCTGTCAGGTGACTACAGAAGTGTCTTTTGCGTCTTTCAAATTTGATGTTGACTTGAAACCAGATAGAAATGCTATATTTGTTTAATAAACACACTTTGAGTGCTAAATATTGAAAAGAACAAAACCAAGCATAGTGTAGGAACACGAAGACAGCACAGGGTGGGCCAGCCCTGAAGCCTGGTGGCTAATGAAACAGGATCTTACATGACTGACTGAGGGGTTAAACTGTGACTTAAAAATATGTTGAGCACATGTGGGTACATGCCCTAAATCCTAACAAGATGAAGAAATAGAAGAGAAGGAATTGTGGAACGACCATGTCCAACTGAGGGGTGCTTTTTCCCTTTCCCTCTTTATGTCTCTCTCTGGAGAGTACATGCATTCTCTAGCAATTAAAAAAAAAGCCAAAGATACCACTGGGGATACAAAGCTAAAGATGAAAACAACCAGTTCCTCTAAAGGGTAAGTTCAGTAACTGACGGCAGGGTACAAAGTAGGACACGGCAAATAACAAGAGAGCGAAGTGCTCAGCTGGCATCCAGCCAGGGTTGCCAGATTTAACAAAAACAAAAACACAATAGGATGCCCATTTGAATTTAAATTTCAAATAAAAAGCTATTTTTTTTAGTATATGCAAATATACGGGGTACACGTATACTAAAACATATGATTCATTGTTCATATGCAATTTAAATTTTACTGGGAGACCTGTATTTATCTGACAACCTAGTTCCAGCTAATTAAATGTATTTTTACAAGTAATACAATTTGAGGAAAATAGCACTTCTGATCTTTTCTCATATTAATTCTAAAAAAAACATTTTTCAAATTTGTATAGCACCTTGCCACTTAACTTCAATATATGCTAATTACTGAATAAATATTAAAGTCTCAAAATGATCTTAGTCTTAACACTTTAGATTCTCTTTTCCAGGAATCATGAGTTCATTAACTTTCAACTATATTCTTGACAGACTACAAAATTGATTAATATTAAAACACAAACAAAGAAGCCATCAGGCTTCTGATTCATAAAAATTGACACTGCTATCCTAATACCATAAAATAAAGAAAACATTATAATAAAAATAAAACGTACAAAATAATATATGTACAATACATACAAAAATAAAGTATGTACAAATACTGAACGGCTCCTTTAAAACAGAAAAGAGATCATAGGAAAACTGATCTACAGAAAAACAAACTCACAAAAAACTCCAGCTTCAAATGTCTGCAGTATCACAAAATAAAGGGAGTCACAGAGGGAAAAGGCCACAAAAGGTTTGGAGAGCCAGAGTAGAGTTTGGATTTTTAGTGTATGTAGGTAGATACAAGCCATTGAATGATTTTAAAGTGAAAGAGTAACGTGATCTGATTTAGTTTGGGAAAAACTACCCTAGTCACTGAAAAAGGCTAGGAGAATGGACAAGAAGGCATTCAAGAAAAATTAGTTCCACTGTGGTTTATTTTTCTTCTACTACAGCAACAAAGGTTTTAAGAGTTGAGGCATGCATATACGATCTTTTTGATAAAGACTATACTATATAAATTTTACTAAAGGACATAAAAAACACCTTGGGAAGACTATACTATATAAATTTTACTAAAGGAAAGAAAAAACACCTAGTGGGAAGATTTAACATTGTGAAGTTATATAATTTTTTTAAAATCATCTATAAATTTAATATAAACTCAATCCAAATCCTCGCAGATTTCTTAAAGCCAGAACTTCAATAGCTGGGAAAAAGTTCAGCTGGAACAGACAGCTGTAGAAATGACTATGACAATTTGGAAGTATAATGTCAGGAAACATGCTAAGAAATACCA